GCTGGCGATTGTTCGAACGTGCAGGGTGCAACGGGTTCGCGCATYGGCATCATTGTGCAAGCAATCTCTACTCTAACCATCGGCGTAATTCTATCGTTTACATACTCCTGGAATTTGACACTGGTCACTCTGCTTACYGTGCCGCTCGTGTGTGCGTGCATACTTTTCGAAGCACGATTTATGGAGGCGAGTACGAATGTAGAGCGGCTAGCAATTGAAGATGCGTCGCGTGTTGCGGTGGAGGCAATAGCTAACATACGCACTGTAACCAGTCTGGGCCAGGAACGCCATGTGCTTGAGCGCTATTGCGAGCAAATAGACAAAGCCGATAAGGCGTGTCGCAAGAAGGTGCGTTTCYGCGGTGTGGTCTACGGTATGGGGCAAACGGCACCGTTCTTAGCCTATGGCATTTCTTTGTACTATGGTGGTATTCTAGTAGCCAATGATGAAATACCGTATGCGAATATTATAAAGTGAGTGGAGGAAAATATTTCAATGATTCTTTGCCATAAATAATAATATGCRCTTSTTTAGAGTCTCCGAGGCTCTAATTTTCGGCTCATGGATGTTAGGACAGGCTCTGTCATATGCGCCCAATGTTAGCGCTGCCGTGCTGTCAGCAGGACGCTTACTAAAACTGTTTCAACGTACACCCGCTGTGTACAGTCCCGCAGATAAGCCATACAACACAACTATGGTAAGTCTTCAAACCAATATGGTCTAGTACTGAACATTYTTAACCATTCAATTCAAAATTTTAGAAATCTGGAGGCGACATTACTTACGAAAACGTCGATTTCAATTACCCGAATCGCAAAGGCATAACTATACTGCAGAACCTTAATTTGACCATCAAAGGCGGCACTACAGTRGCYTTGGTTGGACCTTCAGGTTCGGGCAAATCCACATGTGTACAGCTGCTGTTACGTTATTATGATCCTGTTCGGGGTAAAGTCAATTTGAGTGGAGTACCAACAACGGAATTCTCATTCGATAGCTTACGTTCCGGCATGGGTCTAGTTTCGCAAGAGCCCGTTCTATTTGACCGAACCATTGCTGAAAATATCGCGTACGGCAACAATTTCCGCACAGATATTCCGATGGCTGAAATTATTGAAGCAGCCAAGAAATCGAACATACATCAGTTCATCACCTCCTTACCGCAAGGCTACAACACACGTTTGGGCAGCAAAGGCGCTCAACTGTCCGGGGGTCAGAAGCAACGCATTGCCATAGCACGCGCTATGGTACGTAATCCAAAGATATTGATATTGGATGAGGCTACGTCTGCATTGGATATGGAGAGTGAGAAGGTGGTGCAAGAAGCCCTTGATGCGGCACGCAGTGGTCGTACTTGCCTTACCATTGCGCATCGTCTGACCACAGTGAGGGATGCGGACCTAATCTGTGTGCTGAAAAAAGGTGTGGTTGTGGAGAAAGGCARCCACGAAGAATTAATGGCATTRAATGGCATATACGCAGAGCTGTATATGATGCAGCAAGTGGCTTAACCAATGGTTCCCCTTAGAATTATTGTTGGTAGTAACCTGATATCTACATAAAGTCAATTCGATATTAATGTAGCATTAACTTTATTGTTATTTTATGTGTAAAATATATAAATACATAGAATTAAAACTAAATTTCTTAAATTGGTATTTTGCTGTAAATACAACGAGGCTTAAACTGCGATGCACTTAAAATTGTTGTTGTTAAATTCTCAAATGCGTGCATTGATGATGCTGGTTAAGTACTGATGAAACCAATATTTTGATACTACGCATACAGTGTACTCGTTTTGCTTCAAAGCCTACTGTCCGTCATCGCCCCGGGATTAGCAAGCGCATTTTTACGTTCTTGTATAGCGCACGTAAGTTTGCGGAAAGGCCCTAAAGGTAGCCCTAAGGATTTTAGATCCGCCTCGGTTAAAAGTATCAACGTGTCCAGATCAATTTGTTGTTTCTGAAAACTAAGATGGTAAACCATTGTTACTTAGATCAAGTAAGCTCACTTTCGACTTGAAAATACTCACACAGGCAAATACTCCTCCAAGCCCCAGGCGGTGAGAAAACGTGCTATTGGATTGCAYGCATTGTCCTGCTCATCATCACTATAGCCATCCGCACCCTCAGAATCGGAATCAGATATATTGAGGAATGATCGCTGTTTGCTGCTACGTGTTTTCGTCACAGTTGTGGCGCCACTATGMCGCCCTGTTGCTGTGCTGGTACTCGTGTTGCCGGTTTCCATGTCGTGTGGCATATAGTCATCTGGCTGCAATTGACTCAGGGCCGCAGTCACCGAACGCCGAAAAGCTATACTACCTAACATCGGCCGATCGAATAGGCCAGCCGGGCGTTGCATTGCGAATTCTTCACTCAGACGCCCGGTGGAGGTTAATGTATCCCCAAGTATATCAGGTTGTGAAAAGGAACGTGAAAGTGTGCCATAACCTAGCTTGGCGGTTTCACGTTCACGATCACTGCTCGGTTCGTCTACTTCGAAAACATCGCTGATTTTACCTCGCTTGCTGCTCTCTTCATTTGAGCTGAACGTGCCCACATACAGCACTTCCGAGTCGCGTTGTACACCTATAAGCGACGTTACTGTGCGTTTACCATCCGGTTCAATGCCACCAATCTTGAAGCCAGTCTCTTCAACTTTATTTGAATGACTCGAGTGTGGATGGCTGCGCAGCTTCTTCTGCACCGTACCGACGCGACTCGCAATTGAACCAACACTACCGCCRCTACCACTGCCTGGCGATACGAGCTCACTAAATTTTGTGGCCGTGCTACCGCTACTAATACTGGGACAGGGCGCAGCAWGTGGCGCTGAGTCTCGCGTTGGTTTATGTAGATTTCCTTGACTGGACCARATCTTCTGTTTCAGTGTTGACAACATATTTGACTTATTGCTGTTATTCGCGACGGTCATTGATTTGCCACCCGTTTCAATCTGGTCCATTTCCAGTTTTTGTTGACGTTTCATATATTCGCGCATGCGTTTCTCACAATTCTTTTCCGCCAGCTCACGCATAGCTTTGGCCTTTTTCCTGTTAAAAAAAAAAACCCCAATATTTAAATGCTTTTAGAATTATATCACATATTTGTAGAGGCTTACTTGTCGTTGGTCTCGAAATTGGCTGTAGCGCTATCCAAATACCGTAGAATGTCATCGCGATTGTTGATGGCCGCTAAGTCCTTAGCACTATGACGATCGATATCAAGCGCATAGATATTGACGCCGAATTTCACCAGGAAGTCCACACAATGCAGATGTCCCTTAGCGGAGGCTAAATGCAGCGCCGTATTGCCAAACTGGTCACATTTGTCAGGGTCACCTCTGAGAAGCGCGAAAGTCTCATAAATTAATATATAATCGTATAAATAAGAAAGCAATTAATTACCCTCTCCCACAAAGCAAACGTAACGCATCCAAACGTCCCTCAAAGGACGCCCATAGCACCGGTGTCATAGAATCATCGTCCTTAGCATTGGCATCCTTACGTGTAGCTTCTTTTAGAACGTCAAGTAAGCCATCTTTTGCAGCTCTGCAAATAAAAAATACCAAACATCAGTAAAAACTAGCGCCCTTAATTTCAGTCTACTTGCTTCCAATATAATTCTAACGAGTACTAAATGACGATGTTATTAAAAAGAGGACCCAGAATATATCCTAAACGGAAATAATGGATGAAAAATTGTCAAGTCGAACGTAGAAYATCTTCCAACTGATCAAATTTGACTCGTACGACCAAAAGTATCTACATTTCACCCTATTTCATACGAATCTTGAATTATCGCCTTCAAAATGCCAATACAAATGCTTCTAAGCCAATACATGCACCCAACACACTAAGGATGCAATCTTACTTACAATTTTATTGTAAAGTTTCGCATTTTTAATATGTATGCTATATGTGTTATTTATAGTATCTTAAAATATTCTTCTCGACCAAAAAATGGAATTAAATCGCGAACATTTCCGCGCTCATAGGTGAACCWAATTCAATTTTTGAGGATGAAACTCCATGAAGAACTAGTGCTTATCGATGGTTTAGTAAATTCAGTCGAGATCGTAACTCAAAAAAAGCCTCTTGGCAATTGGTTGAAAGAAATGTTAACAAAATACGATAGCGGTGCTTCGAAACTCGTCTATGACATCGGGACAAGCGATGAATCGTGGATTTATTTACCTATAGGAGCCTGAAAGTAAACAGCTGTCGACTGTATGGGGTTTCAAAATGAGACGAATTCGTTGTTCGTGCACGAAGCACTTCCAAGCAAATGCTTGACTGTTTTCTGGATAAACTGGACATAGAGCAACCATACCACTGGAACACCGAAGAACAGTAAATTCTGAGTRGTATACCACCATTTGATTGCCAGTTATATTTCAMGAAATCCGAAAAAGTAACCGCTGAAGACGTATCACTGTACAGCACTGCAACAACTGTATTTTTGAGCACTCCAAACATCGATTTGATGCCTCCGTGTAGTCCAGGCTTGAAACCGAATGACTTTTTTTTATTCCCTTTCGGAAAAGTAAAATTAGGGGTCAAAGTTTTTCGACACCTGACGAGGCAGTTGATAAGCTAAAATGCATGTCAGGGTTGCAAATAGTGCTTCCGAAAATAAAAGACATGCCGAAATATGAAAAGCAACCTACGTATAGGCTTCGGCAGAAGTGACCTTCAATACCTGCAGAGATTTTTTTTTTGTTTCGGCTCRTTTTTAAAGCGCCATTCGCTAAATTGTTGGACGGTTTCGGCAACTTTAATTCAGTAATGATGCATATGATGGTTGCAGGATCTTCAGTTACTTTCCCGAGCATATCTTTTGCTTCCACTGCTCGACGTGGTTTTAGCAAAACAATCAGGTCTCACATTTGGACGCTTCATATCCAAAATAGTAACCTGTACCCGTGATTCCATTAAATACCACAAAATTTCAGGCAAACTGGTCGTTAATTTTTTGTTCTTGAAAAATACCAGACAAACCTTTCACGTCGTTAACAAACAGCTGTCAAAAACACTAATAGACCATATGGAGGTCGAACGAACAAAGAAACAGATTGTACCAAAATATTAAAAAAATTTGTTTGTGGTTTATACGCGCAATTCAAATAGGCTAGTCCGAGTCAAATTTGATCAGATGGAATAACAAAAATTATACATCAGAAACGGCTGATTAGCAAGCATCGAATATCGAAAGCGCGAAAACCAAAAAGTTAGCTTGCTTTGTATCTTATGCATGCAGGAATATACATRCATACATATAGACATACATAAGTATGTATGCTTGATTGATAACAATTAAGGAAGATGACAATTGCAAACTTGTTGAATTTTTATCTTGAATGTTGTTGGTATGCTAAGAAGTGTGCGATTGTATTTAAAAGAAATATTTAGATACTCACTTGTGAAATCGGTCGGAAGACATGCTTAATTTTTATTTCCTTTTTTCAACGTTCAATTCACTGGTCGTAAGCGAAAAACTCCAGAATGATCACGTTTCATATACATACATAAATACATATATAATATATACTATGTATGTCACTCATAAACAGTCTTTGGGCAAAATTATATTCACATATGCATGTATGCATGTGCATTCAACGCACTTTTATTTCTTTAGTCTTGCTTCGGTTTGAGGTTGTAATATAATGCCAATGTTTTGACTAACATATACCCTATKTACATACATACATATATATGTATATTTTAGCAGGCGGCGGGATGAGCTTCTTGAAACCCGTTTTGGTTTTAGAAGCATATGTACATATACGATACTTAAATATTTGACAGTTTCCACCAAGAGTCCATAAAGCTTGGGAAGCACTTTTTCGATTTGTGCTCCTTAATCCGCAAAGGAGTCCTAAACCAAAAAGTACAAAATGCATACATATGTATGTATATACAGTAAATTTTTTCAACGGACAAATTTCATAACCACAACGTTTTCATTCACATTTTCTTACAAAGCCAATTCCTATAGCCGGACATGAATACGTTCCAATGACCCGACACGGACACTATTTTGTTAACTTTTCATTCAAGTGATTCAAGATTTCATAAAGTGTTTCAAGAAAATTTTGCACAGTTTCCAGTTCCCGGTATTTCTTATTAATTTGTGGAGTTTCGCGACAGCCTATTCTTTAAAAATACGAAAAATGATCACAGCACAATAATTACCACTCATTCACCCAGGCCTGACACTGGATCACATTTATTAGTTCAGTAGAAATATAGTTCTCAGTTTCTGTTTCTGACTCTAAGGATATGAACAGCTCTCATATCCGGACAAAAACACTCCGAGCGGTGGGTGTCCTGTTATGAGGAATTTCACTGTACATGTATTAAAGTTTATATTACAAATCAGTTAAATATGCATACGTAAATATGGCTATCTGCATAGATCCCATCTGCAAGCATACATACATATGTAGATACATATATGGTATATCGCATTGTAACATTGCTATGTATGTATATACATATGTATGTATGGACACATGAATTGAATGAGACGTGTTGCGCTATAACGGAACTTTAATTTGGAGTTCACTCAACTGTTTACAAAGAGTTGACGAATGTAATAACTTGGTTGGTAAGTATACATACATACATACATACATACATACATACATAAAAACTAACAACAAATTCACCGTACACTCTTAGTTGAACATACAATTTCATTAATTTTTAGTGACTTTACCGCACCGTCAACAAAAACTAGCAGAGGCAAAATCAACGAATGCAAATTTTTTGAATGAAAATTATACACACAGACATTTACACAGACATAAGTACATTTGATGCCGAAAAAGTTCCTGCAATTACCACCAATTCTAATCACAAAAAATTAATATTCACAAAATTTTTATCTCAAAAAAAGCAATGAATATCTTTGTGTATATACACACATATTACATAGGAATTTGTATTCGTACAAACGAAAAAAACAACAATGAACACAACACTATCGGCGAGAAGCGACGTGTACACACGCAACTGCAACTTTTTCTTAACGTGTCTCAAGCAAGTTTTCTTTCCACCGCTTCTATCAGCTGGTTGTAGTAACTTTTAGCGCGATCACTTGTCTAACGATGTTGTTGGCGGAATGAGTGGCACACAAAGACTGCGGGTTCTTTAGTTCGTTGAAAGCGATTTGGTCAATATAAACCGTTGTCTATTGTGAGTACGCTTAGTTAACTTGGCTTGCAGAGTTGGAGCCGAGCTCGCCATGGTAATAAGAGTTTTTCTGTCTCTTCGCGAGTCGACGACTATGGACACACATATACTGGTGTATGTAAAGCAATTTTGCCAGAGAACGTGTAATTATAATTCTATATTCTCTGCTTCCAAACGTTTTTGTCTCTAGTTGGTAGGTGTCTGTGCTCTTTCAAACAATCTTACAAAATCGGTTCCGGTTGTCGCTAAAAAATACAACCAACGTTAACATTGGCAGCACTGAAAGTCGAAATCAACATAGAACGTAAATTATATACGATCTCTGGCAGGAATCAATAAGAAAGACAAAAATACATCATACATGCCAAAATAATTTTATTTAAAAAGTAGAAATTTCGTTTATTTTCACAAAGCTACTCAAACAAATTAAGCGCAAAAACAAAAGAAAAGGAGCCGAACAAATAAAAATTGCTCTGAAAGTCAAAATAACCCACTTTACTATTTTGACAGCGGCAGCTAAAGGTTAACGCTGAGTTGCTAAAATAAGTCTTTTCAATTGTCAAATTTWGTCTATTGTTATATTTTCAAAATTATGTTTTCTATTTAGAAGAAAGTAAATTAAGTTGGCTCAAAATCTATACAACCATGCTAGCTGTTGGTATCTAGTAACTTTTACCAAAACGTTGAACAAAAATTGCTGACCGGCGATTTTTACATATTTATACACCACTACGTTCTCTGCTACAGTTCTCATATGTTACTTTTGCTAAATGCAACACTATGCCCCAGTGGGGTCATGTCAAAAACTGAAGTGGAAAACTGCAAAGAAATACACTGATAAATAAGTATATAAATAAGTATTTTCACTGATGCTGTTGTTTTCTACTATTGGGGAGGAGTATCAACCAGCACCAATAATAACCACTAACAACAGCAATATCAGTTTAAGAAGCAAATTAACAACATCATTACTGACTTTTCGCAATATGTGCTCTGTCACCACCAAGTTATGGAAATCGAATGGTGTGTAAAATAAAAAGCAAACGAAACTGGTGWGAAGACATTGAGACAGATTGTCTGCTATACGCGACCCTTGTGTCGCATATTTGGCAACGGCTTACCAAGGCTGGGTGTCTCCAAGGCCTGACTATTGTGTTACCAGGGTTTCAGAAGAATCTGTAATGAGTCAGCCCAGCTAAGTGATCTTGCTAGATTAGTAAATAGTTTATCAATGCATATGTACTTTAAAAAACAACCATCAAAAATCAGAAACTGCCTTGTCGCTCATCTTTACTGCCACTGATGCACAAATCGGATATTTAACTATTSTAAAATTGTTAAATGATTTGTTTGCACATACTAGCGCTTTTAAATACAAGAACTTTTGTTTCGGTAGGCCGTCGCAATTTATCGGGCAGCCGTCAAGCAAGCAATTAGTAATTTATTTATCACATATTTTACAATTAGCTATCGTAATACTGCGATGGGTAATTGCCTACATTGCTTCCAGACATCGTCCGATAATTCGGGTTCACCGACCTTGGCCACAGCGCCCACCTGCCAAAAACCGCATATAGAAGGTAAATAAATACTATGTAATTCATTAAACCAATTTGTTATTACTATCACACTTTAATTAAACATACTTATCTGAGAAAGTTATGTTCCATTGATTGTTAAAATTGATTGATACAAACATGCTCTACTCAAAAATTAACAAATAATTTTTCTAAAAAAATATTGCAAAATTTCAATTTTTAATTAAGCCCAATGAATTTCCACACAAACAAATCAAAATTAATATGTTTTAAATTTTTTAGAAACGGATGAATTGCTCTCGCCCAGAAGTCCACTCAAGAACGCAAACAATTGTGATACTAAGCGAAGTAGTTTTAAGAAATCTTTGGTTCTACTTAATGGAAATGCCACCACCATGAGTGATATMATAACAACAGGTACCATGAGTAAAACTATGTTGAATGCAGAATATTTAAATTTTTTTTTAACTTCTTCTTTTAGCCGTAAAGGAAACGCTTGAAGTGTCGGATAATACGCTTAATCAGCTTTTTGAAGAATATAAAGATCCCGAAGAGGATATGATACTCACTGAGGGTATTGAACGTCTCTGTCACGACCTCAAATACCAGCCTGATGAATTCGCCATACTGGTGTTGGCCTGGTGCCTAGATGCATCACAAATGTGTCGATTTACCAAATCGGAGTTCATTGAAGGTTTACACAAAATGTGCGCAGATACTATCGAAACAGTACGAATAAGACTGGAGCAAACGATTGAAATGCTCAAAGTGGATACAGAAATGTTCAAACAACTCTATCGCTTCACATTTCGGTAAATTGCTAAAAACAAATGTCAATGTGAATATTATTATATTATATATATTTATATGTCTGTTTTCTCAGTTTTGGTTTGGAGCCTGATCAGCGCATTCTCTCGTTGGATATGGCCATCAGTTTATGGAAATTGGTATTCACGGTGCATACGCCAGAACTGCTCGGTAATTGGATACATTTCCTCGAGCAGCACCCCAGCATACGTGGTATTCCAAAAGACACATGGAATATGTTCTTAAATTTCTCCGAACAATGTGATATCAACAATTATGACGATACAGAAGCATGGCCGAGCTTATTTGATGATTTTGTCGATTACGAACGTTCAAGGCTGACAACGCTCACGGAAATTAGCGAAAGTGAAGACGCAGCTGATGGCAGTTATTGTGCGAGTAAGGGGGTTGTCGGTGAATCTGCAGAGGACACACAAATAGAGGCATGTGTCGCGGCTGGTTACGTTGACGATGACAACAACAATGACGATTTTAGTCGTCAGGCTCACCAATCACAACTAGGGAAGGCGGCTTCAATGGGAACAACGGGTGTTCGCAGCGCTAACGATGATATCTTATAGTATTAAACAGTTGTTCGTAGAACGATATGTCGCGAGGAATTTTAAAAGTTCTAGTTTTATTATAATTATTTTTTTTTTATTATCAACAAAATTCTACAAAAACTCAGAAGGCTAGAAAAAAGGAAATAATTGGTCGCAAAGCATTTCGAAGACGATATTTGCATTTGCGTTTGTGTTGCGAAACGCACTGCTCATTCGAAGATCTCCTTTTTACAATTAATATTATTAGTATAATATAATAAATAAATGACTTATTTGCTTTGTGCTAATTAAATTTAATGTTCATTCACATTAGACTTGAATCGAAACGAATAACGCTTTTCCAGTGAGCAAAATGGTGCGTTAGGTTAAGCATTTTATCTTTAAAACGTTTTGTTGCCTAATCAAGTACTATGCCTATGTGTAAGTTTACTTGATTTTCAAACGCCTTTTGATTAAGTGTGGCACATTCCCAACCGTTGCGAATATTAAATTTATATTCAGATTAGGGTTAAGAGGGAGTTACATATATGTACATATATATATGCATGTGTATACAAAGGTTTTTAGTAAGGTAGCGGTAGTAATAAAAATTACGTGCCTCACGAAAGATATTACCTGGTGTCCTTCCGTTCAACCTTTATTGACYGTGTGTGTATTAACATAATGTTGCCAAATTAATAATTATTTGTGCCTACAATTATACATACATACATTATTTGAAATGCACGCTGTATATTTGTTTGATGAAACTGTAAAATTAAATTATTAGTTGCACGATACATTTGTTTCTCCATTAACACGATTCTATGCACCACATATACATATGTACATACCTAGTTCCATAATTATGATAAGACAATACATACCATTCATTGATGTATCGCATCCTTATTTATGAATAAAAATGCCCAAATAATATTTTTTATGGTCAATTTACTGTCGCTTTCTGATACTGTACAGTTTTAGGTTGCATAAAGATAATTGAATTTCAGAATTTTAGTTTTGTTACCGAAAATTAACACATTCATTGAAGCCTTACGTTTAACCAAATACATATTAATATATCTCTGTATTTGCTGGAGTTAATATTCTTCTTTTAAAATTTATAATTAACTAATTTTTCTTTACTTTAATTTAATTTTCTTAATATTTTTATTTTAAATTCAACATTGAGATGACGCTTCGATGCCTAGTGTAAAAGAAAAATTGTYACAGTTGTACATATGTATGTATGAAACTAAATTTATTTCTACGTAAAAATAATAATTATAAAATATTTAGGAAATACTTCAAGATTAAATATTATAAATACTTATACATACATACATACGTACTTATGCATTAGGGTGTTCGTTATTTCTCTAGTTGATTGCTTTTCTTTTTGTTGCAAATGCTCACTGGTGTTTCAAGTTCTACGCTAAATTTAAAGATCCAACGTAGAAAGGCTTTTCATTTTCAATTTAAACCATACCTTTAAAAGGCACGCTGTTAAAGATATTCGTGAAATGTCTTGAACATTCATGCAAGTGATTAATAAAATATGTGTCACTCATACGCCATGTTGTACCATTTGAATACAGAACTTTAAATTCGTATTACTTTTAAAGGAATATTTTTATGAAAAAAAATCAGTAATTTCTTTTTTGTAGAGTGGAATTTTTTATGTATTAAAATATCACTTTTTCAAAGTTGAAGGCCTATTTGCTTAGGATATAAAAAATGTATTGCAAAAGATCACAAAAATCACACGGGAAAAGAAATATGATTTAGTTTAAATTAAATTTAAATTGAAAAATAATTGTTGGAATAACGAATCCTCTAATATATGTACATATGCATAAGTTCTATGTATTTACGCGCTGACTTTGACTTAAAACTCACATAGTAATTATATTTCTGCAATAAAAAATATACTAAAATTAAATGTAACCTTTTACATCCTCAAATAATTCTGTTCTATCTTTAAAGCAAAATATTTAAACTAAGCTCCGATGGAGACATTTTATAAAATTCGTAAAAATTAAATAATTCTTTGAAACATACATATATATGTAAGCTTCATTTAACTTTATGTACTTTGTTGTACATACATAATAATTACTTATTATAGGTAATTATGTATATATTTTTTACATAGACTTAACCATTGAAGAATACTTAGTGCTCATAAAATAAAATAAAATTTTCTAGGAACATAAATTGTATGTAGCTGTCAATGATTTTGTCCAAATATTTACCTTATTTTAATATACAGGCTTATGAACATACTTACATACATGTGCCTGTATGTATGTACATACATATGTCGACATGACTACACTTTTTGCTTTGTATCAAACAATCTGTGACTTAAATATAAAAATAGCAATTAAAATTGTAGGTTAATGTAAAAAATGTAGTTTGGGAAGCATTTCGTATGAGAAACCAGTGTTTTCTAATACTTTTAGAAATGTTAATTAAAAACGGAAATTATCAAAACTGAATTACGATTGCGTGCTTAGTCACTCCATTTGAATTTATTAATTTAGCTAATTTACACTATAGATACTTCCAAAAGTAAATACAACAAGTGCAACTCGAAACAACTTATATACAAATAAGAGAATGTGAACGAAACGATGCAACATAACAATAAAGTATATACTTATACATACATACACGCATATGTATGGACATAGACGATCTGAACACAATAGTTTGATTTATAATGAAAGTGGGAATCTGAAATAAGTGTTAGTCATGATATTAATCTATGAGTATGAAATTTGAAAAGCCACTTCTCATATTCTCTGATGATATGAAGTCTTGAAGGGGTTAAACTTTGTACTATGCCGATATATGAGAACTTTGACAATTTTTAAATAGTGGCCTCTTTAGCTCAGTGGCAGAGCACTGGTCTTGTAAACCAGGGGTCGTGAGTTCAATCCTCACAGGAGGCAGCAATTGCCAATATTTTTATACAAACTCAAAAATACTTAAATAACTTTTCGAAGCAACATTATTAGAATTTATTAAAAAATCTATGGAAAATAGAAATATTAATTTTTGTTAACCAACTATTCTTGTTTATTYCACATTTACTATTCAAATCGTGTTAATATAATTTGTGATCGCAAAATTAACATATATTGCATGAAATTCTATTGAAAGTATAAATTGGAACTCTATTTAATTGCACTTGAGTAAAGAATTTATCCACATGGTAACATTGTTCTAAAGGTCACACTGTATTATGAGAGCACATTGGCTTTTAATTTTTATATGCCTCTTTAGCTCAGTGGCAGAGCACTGGTCTTGTAAACCAGGGGTCGTGAGTTCAATCCTCACAGGAGGCAAATAAGCATTACATATTTTCCATTATGTTTTTTTAACATAATATTTTCTGTTCTTTATTTGACAAAACAACAAATTCATCTTTTTTCCAGATTATATTGATTATGACTGTCAATGACATCTTTACCATATGTCACATCAAAATAATCAGTAGTGTTTATTATACGCTTGCTCTTCGGAAGTCCATAAAATGCATTCGGCGATTTCTATGATGAGCGGAATTATCCAAAAAATAAGTTCAATTGAATTTTGTGTGTGGAATCAAATTTCTGATGCCGAAACGTTCAGAATGTTGGAAAAGCTCTTCGGTGATAATTGTTTGTCGCAAGCAASTTGACTTAGAACCACGTCTATGACGGCCATAAACATCAATTGATGTTCAACACGTCAATAAAATAAAGGAATTGGTGCTTGAAAATCGAGAATTAACAGAGTCAGAGATCTTACTGGTTCTGAAATCACCATATTTTTTCGAAAAATAGCGTCGCGTTAACCTCTGTGAAACATSCTTTTGAACTACCAAGATATCATGAAACGTATTATTACAATCTCCCGAATATCGTGGCAAAGCTGAGCCGAAGCCGAAAAACCCACATCAAAAATCAAGGTTATTCGTAAAAAGAGGCCGGAATTGTGCACCGACAACTCTTGGTTTTCGCACCACGATAATGCTCCGTCGCATAYGGCATCGATTTTTCTTCAAATTTGCAACCAACATCATGCCACAACCATTATAATCGCCTGATTTAGCTCCGTTTAACTTCTGGTTATTCAGTAAGCTTAAGAGACGGCCCCGGGGGAAATCTTTTTACAGGCAATAAACGTTAATCGCTATGAGCATTGAAGGCTATTCCGTAAATTGACTTAGACAGCTGTTTCGAGGATTGAAAACACATTGGCATAAATGTATTAGGGACTAGGGGATTTCTTTGAGGGGACTGACTATATTTTGAAAAATAAATTAAGAACTTTCAAATTATGAACAAGGTCTTACTATTTTCTACTCATAGTAGTGATATAATTTCTAATAGCAGTTTTGTACTTTTTGTCAAGATCTTATTTAGTCAGCATTTTTTAGCTCTTATTTCTCGCAAGTATGCTGTATATTCTTAATTTGTCTTTTCAAGAAAAAATAAATTAACTCCGCTTCTTCATAGAATGGTGAAAACTTTTGGTATGGTGAGACACAAATTACACAAATTACACAAATCTTTCGTAGTATCTTGTCCTAATTTATTCGTAATTGCAGAAGAATTATTTGTGGTTTCTAAWGCCATTTRTATTGTTCGATTTAAATGAGCAATTTGGCTTAGCGCCGAACGTCTGCCTCTTTAGCTCAGTGGCAGAGCACTGGTCTTGTAAACCAGGGGTCGTGAGTTCAATCCTCACAGGAGGCAATTAATAAATATTTATTTCATTACAACTATTTTTGCATATATAGCTTAAATATATTTAAATTAGCGTCATTATATTAATATTATTGATTTGCAATAAAATAAATAAATAAATATTTGTATGTATTTATTTAAATCATAATTATAAATAATGATAAAGCATGTTATTGAACGGTTTTTAAAAAATACAATTTATGTATTCTACCATTTGTTGTTTTTCATAAAAAATTGTTGTGTTTTGATATTTGTGTTCACATGAAATAGCTAATTTATTTATTTATTTAGTATTTAAATACTGGCAACATCTTTGATATTCCAACTATTGCCACAAATTTTGCCAATTTTTTAGAGAAGGCATGTCTCCACGACTTCTTTGACATTTGTCATTTTTACTCGTAGTAGTTCTATCGATTATTTCATTAACAATCAACAACACAATCAAAGAAAACTTTTGCAGCTGAAGTAAATCAACGTAAAACGCGAAAATATACTCAGGATTTTGGCTTATGTTAGCAAATACGATTGATTCTTTTTCGAAAATAATATATCTTAATGATCGTCGGCAAGATTACAGCAAGCTGAATATAATTAATGTATAAGACCTTGAAAATGATTTCAGTGTCAGACGCAGCCACATATTATTGGAGTGATTCACGGTTTACGACTAATGCGAAAGTCCAGAATTCGTTTGCAACATTTCAATTTCGCAATTGAACAATTTCAAAATTATAAATGGTTTCTACTGATTGAGAAAAAAATAACTGAATTTGGTTAAATTTTAGTCTTTAGAAGGGTCTCAATATAAAATATATATTTAGCAGTGATGCCCTGCGAAGCATGTCACGTACAATTTACGGTGTTCCGCCGTAAACGAATATGTGCGGATTGCAAGTAAGTGCACTATTTTTTGTTTAATTTAATTAAATGTTAGATAATTTTTTATTGTTCTTATCAAAGGCGATTTTACTGCAGTAATTGCTTATCGACGGCCAAACGTCGGAACAGCAATAGTGTACATATTTCTTCGGGGGTGCAGTTGTGCAGACGATGTATTATTTTCGCTAAGCGTCCTCTTCTCCGCACGGATTTGTTACAGCTAAAGCCGAAGGATCTGATTTTTTATCTGCAATCGAAACATGTTTCAACAACAGGTTGTGTTGAAAAAGATGAGTTGGTAGGGTTGGTGCTGACGCATGTACARCAAATTGATGCAGCTGCTGGTGCCTCGGATAATGCTAGTGCTCGCAGCTACACCGACGCATCAGCAAATTCATTTGACAGTTTGAAACAGACGTGCCAAAACTTTTTTACAAGTATTACTGAAAACATAAGTGATTCTCTAAATTCCTTTGATAATAAAGGTTCACCGAAAGAATCCGGTGAAACGAGTGGTCGAACGCGATCAGAACGAAGTTCAACAGACAGTACAACGACACACATTTTTGATCAGCCAAGAGTTTCAACTCGAGAAATACCCACTTACGCTAGTTTTCAACAACAATCTAACAATAACCCCCAAACGGAACAATCAACAATAACAACATCATCACCATTACTCACTATCCCGCTATCAACAGTTACAACAAATGCGTCAGTTAGATCACCAACATTGGTGAGTAGCAGCTCTTCTTCGGTAACTACCAAAGGTAGTAGTCAATCCTCTGTAAGCCCTGAAATTAGTATTAGCTCAATTGATCGTGGTGAGACGGATGAGCATCCACTTGCTTCAACTTCAAACAGTCAACGCGCTGGATTGACTCGTCAGGAAGCTGGTGAAGAAAATTCTGATTGCGAATGCTCAGATGACGAGCTACTAGCCACATTTAGCGGTCTCTCATTGGCGCGWAATAACGAAGTGGAGTTATCATCGAATAAGGATTCACATAAAAATACAGAACCAGATGAAAACGTTGGTAGCAAATCAAGGACCAGTGCTGATATAAATTGTGCTGAGATGTCTTCGCAATCGTCCTTTGAAGAGCTGGGAGCAATTGGCGGTATATCAGATGAGAGTAAAGCAACCACTGACACTAACAGTAGCAACATGGAGCAATGGCAAATCCTTGAAACTACCATGGTGCAAACCGCTGAAAATCCCGTAGACGAACAATCTACATTATTCGGATGTAATACCACTGATACTCCATCGAGCAGTGATATCGTTAATAATGATGCAATAGCAACGAATATGCCAAACGATTTACAAGTGGCTTTGCCATTTTTACAACAGGACCAGGCACAATCCCTTATACCATCGGTACCACAACGCATAAAAAAAGTAACTCGTCGCCGTTCAGATAGCTACCTTAATAGACAACGTCAACAGCACACTAGCGAGGACGATTCACCAACCGATAATATTGCACATAATGCGGATATGACACTGCATGAACACGATGCCGAGTTGGGTAATAATGCACTTGAGACTGAGGAAGATAAAAAAGTTGCCGCTACCAAACGTGCGGGTAGCTGCCTAAAATGTGGAAAGCACAAGGCAACGTTGCGTAAACAAGTAGAGAAGATGCGTCGTCATCTGGAAAATGCTCAGCTATCGGAAACAGAAATTAAAAAAGAGCTTCAAGATTTTCTCAGTTACCTCGAACAGCGCAGTAAGTCGATGGAGTGTTCAGATACAGAAACAATGGGATCGTCATTGAGTGGTAGAAATTTAGCGCAATCGCCAGAGCAGCGGCAAACGCAAGCACAACAACCCAATTTTTGGGAAGGGGCTGGCATGTCTCACTGGGAATATCAACTTGACGACAATGAGGGCATTCATGTATATGCAGGTCCCACTTCAGAGGCGAACGATTATAACGCTCAACCGGCGCGTTTTATAAATCTGGACGACTTCGAAAGTGTGTAAGTTGATGTTGTATGCTGTTCGTATTATTATTACAATTAGTATTAAATACAAAAATTAATATGTGAATATTTAAAATTTGAACTTTCGTTTAGTGATGACCTCGAAGCTTTATCAGTGAAACAATTAAAAGAGATTTTGATGCTAAATCGAGTGGACTACAAAGGTTGTTGCGAGAAGCAAGAACTGCTTGATCGTGTTCAACGTCTATGGAAGAACTTCAAGTCGACGCCAGGTTAGAGTTTTGTTATAATACATACTGATCCGTTACTAATTTTCTTCAATTCAATCGCAGCTGTCGACAAATTACCTACCGATGAGCTTTGCAAGATATGTATGGACGCACCAATCGAGTGTGTTATACTTGAATGTGGGCACATGGCCACTTGCACAAATTGTGGTAAAGTGCTTAGTGAATGCCCCATTTGTCGTCAATATATTGTGCGTGTGGTACGTTTCTTCCGTGCGTAATTGTCTTGCGGATAATACAATTTGGAAAAAATGGTTTTGTGATGGTGTTCAAAACACTATCTATTTACTATAGTCACTAATCTACAACACGTTGATGATGTTATGTGAATTTAATTGCATGCATTTTAAGTAGCCTTGGGAAATTCAGTAAATTGTGAATATATAAATAACAAACATGCAAGTAAAGGAGTGCATTACAATCCCATCGGATCAGAATACAAGAATCCCCAAATGTATGCTCCAAAAATATTCCCTCTTCTAATTCTCATTAATTGGTGAAATAGCGTTTTAAGTATAAAAACTTGTTGAGTTGTTCCTTTTATGTAATGATTTTATTTTTTTGATAAAAGTCTTGTGAAGTTTTACCAATTCCAATTCATCTTACCATTTCTTGTAGTTTCGTGTTAAGCTTTCAAAGCTTTAATGTAAAGCTCCTGTTCTTTTTTTTTTTACTAATTATTTCTTGAGTTTAAGGAGGAAGATAACTCTATTCCATAAGCGCAGTCCAAAATAAAATATCGAGTCTTACCATTGAATGGCGGTGCACTCGCTGTGATGTCAAATACTACGTACTAACACTAACCAATATCCTATATCTATATAGATTATAGTTAGTATGTAAAATGTAGTCAGTCAGTATCTTGTAATCATAATTTTTCTGCAACGTTTATGTATAAATGTACATACATACATACGTATATACGGATTATTCGAAATTGTTAAAGTACAACGTTTTTTGTTTTTATGTAATTAATATTACTAATTAAACACATTCCCAAAGGGTCCAGTATATGCAATACAAATACAGTACCATACAATGCAATAAATATTACTTAAAAGAAAKCAAAAACAAATGTACATGTAGAGCACTTATTGTAAGAGTAATATAATATGAGAAATACGTAGATACATACAATAAATCATATAAGAGGATTATATTATAATAAAGTTGTGTTGAAATTGTAAAAATCACACTCAGCTGTGAGTTATCGTCATCATCTCCCATATCGAGAATGAGAATTATTTGTCATCAGTAACACACCATTCTTGTCCCATATGTCCTAAATCAAACACTCAACTTACTAGTACCACTTCAAATTATGATACTTTCCTACTACTATTGGCTGAAGTTGAAACCCTAACGAATGTTGTTGTTGGTGCTGTCACCACTGTTTGGCGGTCATATGTATTTTGGTCGATTTTAATTCAATTGTGGAAAAGTGAAAATGGCTTGTCAAGTATTTAATGCTTATGAAGGTTGCGTAGAGGAGATGGCAAACCAGCGCCCATCGCTTCAAGACATTGATGCAGAGATATTTTCTGCGAATTCACCCAAAGCGAGATCATTAATTGAAATTTCAGGTCCGTCTGAGTCCGGTAAAAGTGTGCTTCTCTGGCGCCTAATGGCTCGTTGTCTTACACCAACCTACTTTGGCGGTCGGAATTGTGATGTAATTTTTATTGATTTAAGACATAAATTTGATGCGCAAAGCTTTGAACAACAAATTTTACGTCTGGTTGCTGCCTCTGGTGAACAACATACTGCAGCTGAATTACGGGTTATGGTTGAGAAATGTTTTGATTCTATGCATTTATTAAACTGCTATAATTCAAAAAATTTTAAAGCAGCCTTGGAAATTGTTGATGGGCTACTTGTAAAGCATTCAGATTGCTCATTGATGGTCATTGATGGTTTAGATGCTTTCTATTGGTTGGACACTTATGATCGTCGAATTCGTATGCAAACGCACTACATGCGCAATGTAGAACGTCTTCGCAGCTTATGCGATCGCCATGGTGTTTGCTGCGCATACACTGTTAATACGAACTATTTGGGCTCAAAAAAATTAAAAGGTGTTGATGGTAATATCCTCGGGCGATCCACGCAGACAAATGTGAAAGTTGAATACAGGTTGCATTTGCAAATTGCTAGCAATGGTGAACGGACACTTAATGGAATGGCAGTAGAGATAAGAGACAATTCCTTGTATGTTGTTAAGAAGCAATGATCAATTATGTAAGTTACTCCAAGTTTTTAACATGCTAATACTATTATATACCAAAGCTAAGTTTGTAATACCTTAAGGAAACGGTGACCGTATATGTATAAATGGTTACTATGATGAGCTGGGTCCTCATGAGACTATAAAATGTTTATATGGTGTTGGTGCGTAACATAGCTTCTTTTTATATTCTTGCAACATGCAAAATCAAATTCGGAGAAATTCCTTCAGAGGCTGCCAAAATGTATTGAAATATAGCAGTTGGGGAAGAATCGACCCGTTTTAATCTATTTTTACTAATAACACATACTATTAACTTGCCACATACTAATAAAATGCCTCCTTGGTTTCATTAAGGTATCTCACATATTATCACCAATCTATATTGAGTAAAATCAGCCGGCTGTTCGAAAATTCTGATATTAATTAGATATGGGCTCGGTAAAGTTTTCCCCCCATTTTATCAAAATTAAGCACAAAGATACCAAGTTATTAATAATACGGGGCACAAAGTCACCCCGAAGTTCGAAAATCTATATATTACGGGAAATAAGGGTTATATACCCTATTTTATTCATGTGGGTTGGACAGGTCGGCTTTTCACCTAAATGTGTGTGGTATCGCGCCCATGGACGAATTTAGAAAGTGGCTCTAAAAGATTCTCGCCATCGTGATCATTTACATATATATATATATAGAACCCTATAAATATGTCGATTAGTTTTAGGTTTTACAAACAACCGTTAGGTGAATAAAACTACTATATTTCGTAGCGACACGTTGCAAGAATGTGAAAACGAAATCTGAGCGCGAATCGACCATTCCAAATAAAACGTTGCGGGATGTAAATAATTCTTAATAATTTTCTTTCATTAATTTAATTAGTTTTTAAAATAAAGCAGTCTTGGTAAAAACATATATAATAACAATTGTACAAGTTTACGATTATTAATAATTTTATCATATTTGCACTTAAAAATCAACCTCTTCAATAGTTGAAGTAATTCATGTACATATGTCCCTACATATCTAATAAGCAATTTTAAATAATTAAGTAGACTAGAGTTGTCACTGTTTAGTTCTCATTTCATCTTTTTCATATTACATTTCCGACCATACTATTCTACTATTTCGACTTGAGGAGACCGCAACAGATTCTCAACTAGTCATTCCGCTTAGAAGTCTAGAATAAATATTAATGCGTCTAAATATTATCATTAGTTTTTCTATTTAACTGCGATTAACCCGCAAATCTAGCGGTGTTTCCGTTTCCATAGTTCGCACAGGACTCTCAGTGCCACGTGCATTATAATTCCAACCATGGCTGGATCCAGTACTGCTGCCTGCCGATGATTGACTTGTTGCGGCATAATAATAATCGAGCTGAGCTGGCTTGATATTGCAAACATCCTCCTCCATGGCATTAAGATAGTAGTGAGGTGGTGGCGGCGGCGGCACACAGAGCTGACAAACTGGTATTGCGGCGTCCCTGTAATCTTTCGCATAGTGATCATCATGTACATGATGATTTCTACCCAATATAACAGCGTTCAGGGTTGAAGATGTAATTGTGCTGGGCATATGTGTTTGTAGAGCACCGTGTGCTATGGCTGTTTCTGTGCCAATAATTGGATTCTGAACGGGGGTAATAGCGGCGGTGCCAATTATTTGTACACCATGTTTGAAAGTTTTTACATGTTTACGCAATGATGAGGGATCCGTGTAGCGTTTTTGACAACCGGGTACTTTACACATATAGGGTTTATCCATAGCATGAGTGCGAGTATGTTTGAATCGATCCGAAGAGTTTGAATAGGCCTTGTTGCAACCTTCATAAGTACAGAGGTATGGTTTCTCGCCTGAATGCGAACGAATATGAATCTTAAGATTCTCTGCACGAGAGAAACTCTTTATACAGAGATGGCATTGGTGAGGTTTCTCCTTAGTGTGAGTGCGAGCATGTACCAGCATCTTATATCGTGCTGAGAATCCGCGCAGTCGTGTACATCCATGCCAACGGCAATAGTATAAACCATCGGCTGGTGAAGCTACGGCATGCACTTTGGTCACATGGGCGGCCAATGATTCGAGGGTGCTGTGATCTCTGCAATTAAAACAAAACGTAGTTGTTGTAAATAAAACAAATATCTACAGTTTCCCAAAAGTATGAATAAGAAAATGAAGGTGTTGGTGGATTGTTATTTGAAGGGTGAGGGGATAACGAAATCAGAAAGAAAATGTGATGTGCTCATATAATACTTATGTACATATATACACTTGGTAGTGGTCCTATATAAATCTAATATACTTGTATGTATATAAATGTATATGAATGTGTAAATGTGTCGCAGCCAATTTTGAGGTGTTATATTTTTTTATGAGGTACAATGACGAATCTTATCAGTTTAGGAAGTGGTTTAAKGCCATAAGAAGGCGCCATAAACCAACAATGATTATTTTTATTGTTTTTTGCTGGATTACAACTCACCTGCCGCAATCAATCCATTCGCAGACGTATTCACTTCGTTTTGGTGTCGAGCTAGCGCTGCTGGTTGTGGACGCGTTCATTGTCATCGTTTCATGACGATGCATTTCTGTGCTTATTGTGGTGTCTTCCAAGCCAACTATGTCCACTGCTATGTCGTCGACATGCTCTGGTGTTGGTGGCATATTACTATCCAAATGGTCTTCGCCGATTTTCATAATGACCGATTGTGTGCGTATGCTGGGAGTTTGTGTACTGGCTGGTAATTTATGTGTATTCTTATTATATGGTGGTGTTATTGGAGGCGTCGGAAATCTTAAATGGTGCATTTGMAATGCCTCATCAATAGACTCTGGCGATGTTTGTGTTAGTTGTGGTGACAACAAATCCAAGTGACTCCAGCCTTCATAGGCGGCTAAAGCGACCGAGGCGGCGCTTAAGTGCTGATAATAAGCACTAGTTGGCACAAAGGCAGAGTTGAAACTACTGCTAAGAAATTTAGAATTTTGTACTGCCATTGCGGAGCAGATTTTGTAGTTTTTATTTATTTAGTAAATAGTTAATATTTTTTTTTTTAACGGTCAACTTTTGGCTATTTGGAATCTTAAACTTTCAGTTTTTGTATTTAGCTTTTTTTGTGTTTAGAACCGTTGTCTAGAGCGAATTCACGACAACTGAATGCGTTTGTTAGCGAACACTCTCATATATGGGTAGGCACAAGCGTGTGCGATAAGAAGCACACATCTTATCAGGCACCTTCTACATACTGGACGAGTAGTTATAGAGTATTTACGTAGTGTATTGTGAATGCAGACAGGCGAGCGKGGGTGCGCGAAAGGTTTGATCAACGGCTATCAGGCAGACAGTCTAAATTAGGAGGGGTGAGTGGCTATTTTTAACTGGCATAGCTGTGCGAAAACCCATTCGAGCTTCCATCAACGCAAGGAAAGTGGTCGATTTCACGCACCCGCCAATGTGTACCGCTCCAAACTAATTCACCTGTACACGCACTGAATCGTGGGGTATGCTTATCAGGCCGCTGGCGGTTGACGGTTGCTCGTGTAACGCCAAATTTAGCTGTGCAAACGTTTGTATTATTACGCATGTGCAATCACCGTTGTTCGTTATCGCGCTACGTGAGGCCAAGAGTAAATAAATAAATATCACTGTCATTGGTGTTGTTGTTGTTGCTGTCTGCTATTCTTTGATTATTAGCGCCGCTTTCACTAGGGGATCTCAGACTTGACTTCCAGYCACAATAGAAGTTTAGCGACTAGCTTAGCGCGGCTAAAAGCCACTAGAGTGTCCGGCTAATGTGCCGTTTTATATCTAACAAGACTGTCGAATTTCAATTACACTATCGCTAAAGTCAATCATTTTCTTTTAAGTGGTATCGTTTACATAGTTAAGGTATAAATTTATCGCAAAAATATGTTGCTTCGCATTTGTTTGGTAAGTATGGTGTCTGCTGATCCCTGATAACACATCAACAAGTCTACAATTTTCCACTAGTCGCAACGCGTGGTGACGCCAATGGTCTTGAAATTTACCAACTAGCAACAAAAACAATACACTGCCATATCACAATAACCACCCAGACGGTCTATCTACAGTCACAAATACCGGCCATAAAAATTGGCATTTCGCATACTTCATGATATGTCGACCGCTTACTTATTGATACGATTAATGCATAACTTTTTCTCATTTGCTCTGTTGGAGAAACACGAGTAGAGCCGCTCAGCAAATCGTTGCGGACCAACCTAAAAGCCTTATCATACGCTTGTGTTAATTCTTAGTCGTGGTGCTAAAAGTTCTGAGTACTAGATCGTAGGAAGTAAACATCAGCAGTGAGTGAGCCGTTATTGCTATTGGCGTTGAAATGTGTCGCGTCTTTTCGTTCATTTAACGAATATGAACATAGAAATTCGTTATTGTTCGATGCTCTACAACGCCGCAATGATTCATGACAACGAAGTCACATCGCTCTCTTTGTGAATCGGACGTAAGTATGTAGATACATACGTCCATGTGAAGAAATACATATGTCGTATGCACACATACATACATATGTATRTACATATAAATGTATGTTCGAAAATATGTATTTACAGTTCTCACTTTCTTCCCAATGCTGCTATCATTCTACGTAACAGGTGTGGGCTGCTTGCGATACAGCCTTTCTCCACTCTAACGTTCAACTTATGTACTACATATATTTATTTGATTTCGGTTTTACTTACTTAGGTAGATATCAGTTGCTTTATTTTAGATAAGATTTTCGCATTTGGCTTGCTAAATATTTTATAAGTCCAGTGCCTCAACTTGAATTTATCATACGCTTATGTATGTATATACATATGTATAAATATAATAGGATAATTAGTAGAATACCAATTGGTAGGTCTATTTTGGTTAAGCCATAAAACTGTTGGTATTCATACAATTATTTCGCTGAATAATTCAGCAACTTCTAGTTAGCAAAGGCGATGGTGTTCTCTGGTTTAGTTCCATATAAATTTAATAAATATATATTTATAAAAAATTTCAGTTGGACTAATTTTAATGCGTGAATGCCGTTGTCTGAATCAATTTAGGGTAGGCTAACTTTCAGTTTTACGAAATTGCGAAAATGTTCGAAATTGTTTAGTCAGTTTWGTTTTTAAATTAAATTAAACAGTTCAATCATAGACATCTCAGAAAATAAACTAACCTTTCGCCCTGCGGCAACCGCGGCACATTTACCGATTAAAAGCGGAATTATTTAAAATATATGACTCTGCGACTTCCCATTAATACATTTTCGAAATCGCCAACTTTTTACTTTAAATTATAAAATCTTTAGATTACAAAAATTTGTACTTTGTGAGTATTTACATCCAACATACATACATATGTACGTGTATGCATTTAATTTCGGATCAGCTAACTGGTTGTAACCGGTTCTTAAAAAATGCGTCGTCAGCTGTCGGATCTGAAGGTTCAATTGAACTTTGCTTCGATCGCGCTGATAATAGCCCCCAGCTGATAAATACCTATACTTGTATTTACATACTCAACTGCTAATTTGCCTCGAWGCATAACATGAACGATGATACTAGTATTATTATGGTTTAAATACAAATAAAAAACCCGAAACACCGAGCTCAGCCAGAGAATGGGAATGCCACATGAGAACACGTGCCAACATTTCACAAATAAAAGAAGCAAAGACAATAATTRCAATAATTATTGAAAACTATAATTAAATAAAATTAAGAAAAAATGTTAATTTACGTTATTCCGAAACTGTAATACGCTTCACATAAGAAAATTTTCCATAYAAGCACCTAAATTTTATAGAACAGTTTGTATGGCAGCTACATGCTATAGTGAATCGATCTGAATAATTTGTTCTCAGATTGTATTGTCTTGGACAATAATCCATGTCAAATTTCGTGAAGATATCTCAACAAATACAAAAGTTTTTCATACAAAAACTTAATTCATTAACCAGACATTTACTGAAAGTAGTGATCCAGGTTCAGCTGAACTTCAGTTTGATCTGCAGACCTTATTTATGCCAAAAATTATCGAATATACCTGTATAAAATGGCCAACCTGCATTAAGCATATTCATAATACTGGATCCAAAGCCGGTTTGATGATCGGCCTAGACTTTCAAGCTCATACAAATTCTGTGCTAGAACAGATTGCATAGCAAAATACACCTTTACTTGTGTATGTGCGTGCATATGTATGTATGTATGTAGAAAAGRTAACTTCTAGAGAGTTGCGTCAGAAAGCAATTCTATATAGCTCCATCAAACACCCACTTCATGCATAATCCCACAATAAAATCGCGACATATATATACTTATATTATATATATGTACCTAAAATAATATTGTATGGAAACCGATTTGCAACAAACTTAGCGCAAAGTACAATTCGTAGAAGTGTGTGCTATAAACACGAGAAGCACTCAGACAGGCACTCATACCAGTTCTAAGTAGTTCGTTGGTGTGCTGATTAGAAGTGAGCGATCCCAATAGATTTAATGGCCGGCACTTCAGTCAAGCGATAACTACAGTCCAATTAGTATACATACRTATGTATGTATGGAGCGAGACATGTTGTTGTTGGTGAGTGTTGGCGGTTATTGAGACGATTGAGTTGGCTCGTCGTACACCATTGTGATTAGCGAACGTTCACGCCGCAACAGACCGTCGCCGCTGCTGGTGGTATTACCCAATACAATGATAACACAAGCGCACATGCTCACACACATATGTACGGGAATGTACACATAATATGTATGCCATTTTCATGCATAGTGAAATTGAAGTGAACATGTGATGTGGCGGGCCGCAGTGCCTGATCGTCGTGTAGTATATTTATGACTTATTGTATGTTGATATTGGTATGTATGGCGCCAGCGGTGCTACCACTATAGCTGTGTGCATTTTTTTTACTGTTATTTTCGCATGAACTTTATGAGTATCAAGGACTCTCATCTGTCTGCGTGTTATCACTGCGCTGGCTTTGCCGAATGTCGCGCAGCTGTTGTAATGTCATCTTCGTGCCATAGTCCAATCGAGTTGGAATCCAACCAAATGGGACGAGAGTGKTGAGACGCATTGCCTATCAGCCACTCAAATGTTATGTCAGTGTTTGTCATTTAAAAACATGAGATTGCCCAGACGGACAAAGTCCAATTGCGTCTTTTTCTCTCTGATATCGCCTACGCCACTACATAGGCATTTACTTATTGTGAGTCCTAGGCATTGTTAGATCCCACATTTACTTGTTGTGAGTCCTAGGCATTGTTAGATCCCACACATTCTTTACTGGAATCATAATAGCCACCACCTTCAGTAAAGCACACTTCTGTGTTGACAAACCAATACAGTTNTAGATCCCACACATTCTTTACTGGAATCATAATAGCCACCACCTTCAGTAAAGCACACTTCTGTGTTGACAAACCAATACAGTTTAATAAATAGTGAAAAAATTTCAATTTTAAATATCAACACGCGTCAACTTCGCTGATCTAGTCTGACCAATACCCCACTTGAAAGGAAATCTATCAATATGCTTTGGTACCTTATGACGATAGCAATAGTGTACCAAGCGTAAACTATTTCAAAATATTTCCTGTTTTTCTAAAAGCGCTTAGCTCCCTTGAAAATGTCGGCCTAATACTGTCAGACCATGTCTGGAGCATAGGCACATATATGTATATATTAATACTAATTTGTATTATTAATAATGTTATTAATAAAAAATTTCAGATGTCCACCCCATCACTGCATGTGTGGCAAAGTGTGATTAGCGGGTATAAATAAATATATGTACGTATGTACATACAATAAATCGTTCTGCAAATGGACCAGTCTATCTTGTTTCCAATATGTACTCGAAACTGTTATAATATGAAAAAGTACACTTCACTTGCCGCCGTGTCCATCATTTTTACCATACTTAGCATACCAACAATAAACACACCAAACACGAGCAGACAGCATGGTAAATACGTAATATTTATTGTTGATACATTTTTTTTATGGCATTCTGAAATTTTAGATAATCACGTCTAGACTTGGCAGCAACAACAAAAATTGGAGTACCAACAGGTTAGGTGCTTGATAATATATTTTTGGCATTCAAGCTTTTAAGTAAATAAACCAATAAACTACCTCATGGTTGGCATGTACAAGTGTAGTTATTTTTAATATAAATCGCATACAAATAAAAAGTAAAAAATAGAAAATTGCTTTAAGGGCAACTATACTTAAATATATTTTTTTTTGGTTTTTTAATATTGTTTAATTCGTAATTTTTATTGTTTTCAAATTAAAATAATTGTTTGTTGTCAGAACAGTTATTTATACATACATATGTACATACATCTACATATCGCCATCTAAAATTTAAAATAACGTCACATCTCTTTTTATAAGTTTACAGGAGAAGGAGAAAACGATTTAAAGGAGACACTACGCCTGTTTTCATCAATTTTGAATTTTGGTTATAATTTAGTTATATTTAAAGCTTTAAACTTTACATGCATGTAGTTACATATATAATATAGTGACTCGTTATAAACAAAAAAAACTCATTTTCAATTTTTTTTATTGAAAGGTTGTTTTGCATTTTAGATGACAATTAATTGTTATCATTTAATTTATTATTTTAATTTAAAGCAAAAATGAGTAAAGTAAATAAATCTATGTGATATAAACAAAAAATGTAAATACAGCTGTTGACAGCTCATAAGAAATGCCACTTATTTTGAAGTAAATGATGCTTTTTCCAATAAATCACGTATTTTTAATGTAAATATGCATATTTACAACCAGATAACTTTAAATTGAACAAAACTAGAAAGGCAAGGAAAGTCGCGACTACTTCCACATTGAAAGATTTTCTTCTTATGTGCTTGGGATGCAATCTATGAATAAGAAAGTGGTGAATGCTTACATGTATACACGAGTTTCGGGTAGTTTTCAACAGAAATCTTGGGTTGGGATAGATAATTAATAAGGTACACAACTGCAGCATGCTTGCTTTGTTTAATTTTATTCATAAATATTTTAAACGAAACCACAAGTGCGCCTAAAAGATGATTACGGACTGTGATATATATATTATATATATATTTATGTACRTATATAATAACTAACTGCTGCTTTATCAACAAATTATTTTATAAATCGATCCGTTTCAAATCGTAAATGAAATAAATCGTTTAAATTTCTTCTACAGTTATGTATGTAAGTATACATGACCACAATCGTGTAAATATGTGCTTCGAGTGTGGTTAAGAAAGTGAAGAAAATTGTCAGACAATTTAATTAAAATATTATAACGAAAAAGCAAAAAAACAAAAAAAAAAAACCTATTTAAAATGTACCTTAAAAGGTTGCAAGCAACTGTAAATATTGAAAGACTTTTGGCAACGCTTGTACAATTCATTATTGGAAGTATTTAATCTAACCGCGCACTATATTATTTGATTATTGCACTAAAAAAATTTACAATCACTTTACATTGTGTTTAATTACTTGCAAATAATTAAAAATTAGCACTTATAGTATAATCAAAAATACACACAACAWTTTTTTTTTGTTTTGAATATGGAATCGTCTTTAACAAACAAATTAAGAATTAGTTGGATTCCAAATAGCCTAGTTGCCCAGTTTTTTAAGCATAAACATGTGCACAATGACAAAAAAATACAACATATTTTAAATTTGTATTTTTGCGCGGAATAAGCGAAACTCGAATTAATCGTTCTAAGTGTTGTACATAAAATAATACCTGTACGTTAATGATTGCAACGTTGACAGCAGAGTGTAAACGACGATCACAAAAATATGAAAGGAGTTAAGTGGGGGGTCCTTATGGCCTAAAYCGAACAAACAAACAACGCTGTTGCATTGGAAGCATAAACGATCTGGCTGCAATGCTGGAAATAGAATTTTTAAAAGACGTGTAAAAATAGGCCGCATTCAACACAGTGACCCTCCACGGCCTTCAAAAGCTGAAGAATTGTGTGCGCTATTGGTGGTATATGCGTTGGCAATGAAAATCGACAAATTTATAAACAGGTTTTATTAAAACAATTTTAAGTATTTCATTTCCTAAACTAAACTTACATTATTAACATTTAATTAAAAAATAATGTTTTTTTTCTTTTTTTGTTTTTAGCAAGAAGGAATTTCAATATAATTTCATATTGATATTACTGCCATGGAGTATAGTAATATATATTATTGGTGTTGTTATATTTTCAGCTTACACATTCGCGCATATCCAGTCGCTTAAAGCCTTTTCTATGCTAGCGCCATCAATGTCATTGGTTTGWACATTGCAGCTTACTATAAATTGCCGTTTGTAGCGTTTACTCCATAAATCCGCTAAACGTTGAGAATTGGAGGCGTATTCCGGTCCGAATAACGTTGTGCTTGACGAGGATGCTCCGGCACATATCGCCGGACATGCAACTCCCATTTCATTAATATATTCATTGCCTTGAGGAGATATTGTAACCAAAGTACCTAAATTCATACGCAGCATACGTACTGTCAATTTTCTACCTTTAACATCCAAGTGTGTGCCGCAGGAAGTAAATCCGGTATCTTCGTCATTTGCCTTGCGCGATATGCCGTTTGACTCTTTATTGGCGTTATTTAATGTAACTGTATCCATTTTGTAGTATTTGTGGGTTCAAACTTTATATGTTATTAATAGAATATATTACYACTTATTAACTTAAGATTCTCATTGTCATTGCTAAAAAATAAWAACAAATGATTGTCAGAAATAAAGAGATGCCATGTTAAAAGTAATAGTTAGAAAAATTGAGAAAGAAGAATTTGTTCAATATAATCTATACGAAAGCTAACTCATCTATAATTCAGGTACGTTGGGTTTATATATAAAATATATTTCTATTTTTATTAAAGTAAAAAARTTAATACAATTTGCTTACTATATTTTTTTTGAAATAAGTTATTAATAGAAAATGTAACACATTTTGATATACCACCACACCGAATCGATTTTGTTTTACTGCCTAATCAAATGCAACCATGTATTTGTTTATCCGACGAGCACTGCAAGTTGTGGCAACAACATATGTCAACTGTCATATTTTCTACACGTGCCGTTGTTCTTTGGTATTCTAACGGCTTGGGAAATAATTTGTTTATCTAATTCATATTCTGTTTATGAAATACTGAAAAATGGCAAAGAAACAAGTAAAACGAAAAGCAACAGATTTCGTTGACAAGAAAAAATTAAAAGATTCAGAGATTAAGTCTGTGGAAGATGACGAGGAAGAGCAAGACTTGCAAGAGGTAATATTTTTGTTATAGTTGATGGAATGTGTGACATTGCGTTTATGTTTTATATAGGATTTGCTGCAGAAAATATCAAACGAAGACAACGATAGTTCTGACGATGAAGGAACAGAACAAATTTACCAATCCGATGACAGCGACGAGTTGGAATTTGAAAGCGAYGAAGAGGGTAATTACGCTTCCAAATGGGACGAAGGTGTCGGATCAGAAAACAGTGGTGATGAGGAAGCGGAGTCCGATGATGAAGAGGAAGAATACTCTAATGATGAGGAGGAAGATGAAATCAACGATTCAGATATCGAAGATATTTCTGACGATGGAGTTTCTGACGATGAAGTTTCTGWCGAAGAAACCAATTTAAAAGAGCGTAACTTACCAAAAAGCAAAAAATCAAATGGAAACATTAAGAAAAACGGGTTAGAAGCCAGCACATCCGCAAACGCGATGAAAGAGCTTGAGTTGCAAAAAGTTAAAACAAGTGAAGCCCTAAATGATTTTAAAAAGGAGCTTAAAGGTTCGAGTAATACGTTGGTTGTACCGTCTAAGAAGGAGGAATATGCAGACTCTGATACTTCGGATGAGGAAGATATACGAAACACCGTTGGAAATATTCCGATGCATTGGTATGACGAATACAAACATATTGGTTATGATTGGGATGCAAAGAAAATTATAAAACCATCCAAGGGAGATCAAATTGATGACTTCTTGCGGAAAATTGAAGATCCTGATTTCTGGCGTAGTGTAAAAGACCCTCAAACTGGTCAAGAAGTTGTACTCACTSATGCCGACATCGAACTTATTAAGCGTATTAATTCAGCCCGTGTACCCAATCCAGAACATAATGAATACGAACCATGGATAGAATGGTTCACAAATGAGGTGGAGCGAATGCCGATCAAAAATGTGCCTGATCATAAGCGCTCGTTTTTGCCATCTTCATCAGAACGTAAGAAGGTATCGCGTATGATACACGCTCTTAAAATGGGTTGGATGAAAACTATGGAGGAAGTGGAACGTGAAAAAAAAGAAGCACGCGGACCCAAGTTCTATATGTTGTGGGAAACTGATACAAGTCGCGAACATATGCGTCGCATACACGACCCGGTGTCAGCGCCTAAAAGAGATTTACCCGGTCATGCGGAATCTTACAATCCACCACCAGAATATATATTTGATGAGAAAGAACGAAAGGAATGGTTAAAACTTAAAGATGAACCGCACAAACGTAAATTACATTTTATGCCACAAAAGTATAATTCACTACGTGAAGTGCCAGCATATCCACGTTATATACGTGAACGTTTTTTGCGTTGCCTGGATCTTTATTTGTGTCCTCGTGCTAGACGTACTAAGCTAAATATTGATGCAGAATACTTGATACCCAAATTGCCTTCACCAAAAGATTTACAACCCTTCCCCACAGTGGAGAGTTTGGTATATCGTGGCCATACAGACTTGGTGCGTACCGTTAGTGTAGAACCCAAGGGAGAGTATATTGTTTCTGGATCAGATGATAAAACCGTGAAAAGTTAGTAAATTTTAGATTACAAARTATTATGAAAAATTTATTTTGCAACTCTTTCAGTTTGGGAAATTGCCACCGGTCGCTGCATTCGTACAATCGAGACCGATGATGTTGTGCGTTGTGTTGCTTGGTGTCCAAATGCCAAGTTGTCCATTATAGCAGTTGCCACTGGTAATCGGTTGCTTTTGATTAATCCAAAAGTTGGAGATAAGCTGCTCATAAAGAAAACTGACGACCTTTTGGCTGAAGCACCACAAATTGACACAATGGAAAGTGAGCGCATCAAGACGGCGGTGCAATGGTCTGTGGCTGAAAAAGAAGAGCAAGAAAAGGGTGTTCGTTTAGTTATCACWCATTTTAAGCCGATTCAGCAAGTAAAATGGCATGGACGTGGTGACTACGTGGCAACTGTTATGCCTGAAGGTGCGAATCGTTCAGCGCTTATTCATCAACTGTCAAAAAGACGTTCACAAATACCATTCTCCAAGAGTAAAGGTCTTATACAGTGTGTATTGTTCCATCCCATCAAACCATGCTTCTTTGTAGCGGTAAGCAATTTTATTCAAGATTCGAGTAAACAATTTCGAGGTAATTTATTTCTTTGCATATTTTTAGACACAACACAACGTGCGTATTTACGATTTAGTTAAACAGGAGCTTATAAAGAAATTGCTGACAAACTCAAAATGGATTTCGGGCATGTCCATACATCCAAAAGGTGATAACTTATTGGTGTCGACGTATGATAAAAAGATGCTTTGGTTTGATCTGGATTTATCGACGAAACCATATCAGACTTTGCGTCTGCACAAGAATGCTGTTCGCAACGTTGCTTTCCATTTACGTTATCCACTGTTTGCTTCTGCCAGTGACGATCTATCGGTTATAGTTTCGCACGGCATGGTTTACAAGTAAGTGCTTTACTTTAAAATATTTTACAAAATCGATTTTTTCTAAACAATCTGAAATTTCAGTGATTTGCTGCAGAATCCATTGATCGTGCCAGTGAAAAAGCTGCAGACTCACGAAGCGCGTGAGGAGTTTGGTGTGTTAGATGTTGTTTGGCATCCAGTACAGCCATGGGTATTTTCTTCAGGTGCAGATGCTACAATTAGGCTTTACACGTAGTTAAATATATATATATTTTTWAATTTTATTATTGAATTATTGCATACTTAATTTGTGCAACATTATAAAATTAGCGAACAGAGCTAAATAAAATGTCAAAATTAAGGTGCTGCGTGCTTTTTATTTTTTATTTTTAACAAAAATGCTAACTTAGGTTCACGGAAGCTAGAATATACATAGTTCACAAAATAAATATTTTTGAATTTTTACTGACGCGGCACTGAATGCAGTTACCAGAGTTTAGGGAGCTTCGGATGTTGAGAGACTGGAGTTTACATGCTTAACATGTATGTAGTTTGGTTGTGATTTCGCCCTTTAATTTGGCTTCACTTAATCAATCTACACAGCACTTTGAAATTTATTATTGAAATAAATGTAAA